GTGCATCTATAAAATCAGAATCCCCGACATGGTCTAGAACACCGCCTTTTATAAACACTTATCTCTGTAAATTTAATCAGCAACAAACAAATAATATCTTTTTTCGACAAGCTTTCAAGGATATTGTGGATACATCCCACTATGATAAGGTGCTTTATACCGATGCATCTCGAAACGTAGATGGAGTTGGTTGTTCTGTCACTACAGTTGATACAGTGCTGCCACAATACCAAATATCCAACGAATGTAGCGTATTTTCAGGAGAACTCTTGAATATTTCCAAAGGTCTCGAGTTCCCTTTTGATAATCATCAAAGATGAGCTCTGTGTACCGATTCCTTATCCGCAATTCATTCGTTAAAGAATATTTACAATCAACATCTTTTGGTGCAAAAAATATTAAAATCGATCCATCTCGACACTTCCCGAGGGACTTCAATAACAATAATATGGGTACCTTCTTATATCGGCATCCAAGGAAATGAAATGGCTGACAGCGCTGCAAAAGAAGCATCTACATTCAACTTACCCGTCTACAATATACAGGTCTAAGAAGATTTAAAATCAAAATTCAAAAGGAATATCCAAGACAAGTGGCAGGAACTTTGAATCACCAAAAACACAAAGCTCAGAAAAATACAACCTAATCTTTACAGCTATTTATCCCTAGCATCTCTGAACAGAAAAGAAAAAATAGTAATACGAAGATTGAGAATGGGACACACATGTTTGACACACGGTCATCTTATGCCCTCTACAGACCAACAGTTATGCTCTCACTGCAACGATATTTCTATTACCGTCAAGCACATCCTCACAGAATGTCAACACTACCAGATCGCCCGCATTACCAACAATATAACCCATAGTCTAGAAGAACTTTTGAACTGTTCAAGCCGACTCAAGAGCCTAATAGACTTTTTAAAGATTTTTCAATTGTTTAACAAAATATAATTTATATAATTTTTTTAATCTTCACTATTGTAAACTCTGTATCATAGCTTTGTAGATATAATTGTAAACCTTTATTCCCGTGATAATGACCAAAGACGTCGAGACACGTTAATTCGAAATAAAAAAAAATATATATTATGATGTTTAAGTTACCAGTGGATTTGGTAACATGGCGACGTATGACTCCACATGAAGTTGCCGGTCCTGAGACGATGTGTCTACGAGGACTTAATGAAAGCAGCTGAGTTTAATTTAAAAAAACTTACATGTAATAAATTCACTGTTTAAATAAATATTCCGTACTTACGTGGAAAATACTTTACAACGTTTTTTCGGGTAGGTCTTCATTTAATTAGAATAAACCAGTTTAACTAAGATGCTGAAATTAAGATTTCCTGTGTGAATAAAAGAGAATTGAGATGTGAATTGTCTTGCGCATCTATTGACGTTTCATGTCTTGCATTTAGTTGTAAAATTCTCCTATTGCCAAGAAGTAAGATGTTGTCAATTTGGGATTCTTTCTGGGTAACTATAATGCAATTTTTACAATTATGGATCAGTATCTATTTATAACATAGAATACACTTTTGACAAATTTGAATTTAAATTATATTAAGTTATATCGAGAGACTTTTTGACGCTTTTTTAAAGAATCAACAATCAGGCCTATATTATATAATTATTTCCCTGATAACTCCTCCAATATACCAAAGGAATGCATCAAAGCCATAGCTCAAATGTACATTTCACTGCTTTAAAAAACAATTTTTAAATGGTACAAAGTGCAACTAGTCTAATAAAAGTAATACATAAAACTCTTTCTAAATATATTTTCTAATTCAGTATTCAAAACAACGAACAAAAAAGTGCACTAAAAGGGAGCTTATAATAAGTGAAAAAATCAAGGACATGACAGATAAAAAGATAACTGATAATGAAAATAATAGCACAATAGATATACCATCTATCTATACCGTCACTACTGCACTATATCTTCGAACGTGTGGATTCCTCCATATATTTTGCCTTTGCTTGACTCAAAAATTTAAAGACATTAAACATGAAATTATAAAATTTTATTTATGTCACCAATAATTTTGATTCTGCTTTTAAAAATTGACCACAGTTTCTTGAAACTGTCTAACTCATTATTTGACTGTTAGAGTACCTTGTTTATGAAAAACTACTAACTTTAGGGCAATAGTGATACATATTCATATAATTTCATTGTCTATTTAATTTTGACAGAAAAAATATAGGTTTCTATTTAAAAAGCAATTGAAAGATGTCACCACAACTTCATGGTAACTTCATCACCGTATAGAGTTCTACTCTTACATCTTTGAATAATTCAGAAATGTAGTGTTTCCAATCTTTTAACTGTTCATTGATTTCTAAAGGCGGGTTAACACGATCCAAGAATTCTTGGATGCCAACTTGGACCAAGTGGACTTGTACAAGTGTACTTGTACCAAGTTGGGTACCACGGTTAAATGACTTGGTTGTTAAATAACCATTGTATGATTTATGAATGATTGTGGAAGGCGTTCTAGGGGTTGCTGATATGTTTATACATCAGCTTGAAATCCAGAGAAATGAATAAAAAAGAAAAAATGTCGCAGTTCTTTCCACAATGTCGCACAATTCCATAATGCTTCCTCAGCCTTATTTAACTCCATAAATCTAACACTTACCCTTTCAGACCATTTTCTTTTTGTGTGTACTTCTCGTTTTCGATTTTTCGACACTGACGCCATTTTAATTTTACAATACCACACTACCTGGATCCAAGGAAATTGGCCAGCGTCCTACTTAACTTGGATAGAACGTGTTGATACAAGTGTACTTGGATGAACAGGTGATACCATCAAAGTAATTTCCAAGTGTTGCGCTTGCAACGTCCAAGCAGATTATAATCAAGTACACTTGAATCGTGTTAACCAGCCTTAATATTCTGTGACCGTTTTTGTCTTGTAGATCTCGTTGCAGATCCCTTTTAATTTTTTGTGCAGATGAAATGTATCGTGTTTCTTTTCATAGTGTTAAATTGTATTACATTCTTTACTATGGATTGTGTTTTCGCATGTCTTATCTTTTGCCTGATTATTGCGTGGATCCTCTTGTATTCGTTTTTATCTTTATTTCTGACTTCTCTTCTTTGGTCCATGAGTCTTAACATTTTTTTTGTCATCCACCCGTTTTTCTTCTTGTTTTTACTACACTCAATTTTGTTTCTTGAACAGACTTTAACATATCTTTAATTTTCGTTCAGTTTTTATAGGTACCTTCCTTTTTGCCTGATGTCAACTTTATTTTTTGTTTTAATTCTCTGGTTATTTCTTGTTTTCCGGTATCATGTAATATATTTTCTCTATCAATAGTAACTGTTTACTTATTAGTTCTGGTAACTCTTTTCAATCGCAGTCTTATTTTCCTACATTTTCTTCTTATATTGTGATGTTATTATATCTACAATCGGATATGTTTTGCCTGCTAATACTGAAATTCTGTATTTTTATATATATATATATATATATACATATATATATATATATATATATATATATATATATATATATATATATATATATATATATATATATATATATATATATATATATATATATATATGAAGTATATTGGTTGCGAACCATTCGTTCATGTGTATCTGCTAGTGAGCTCCAGATATAAAGACGACGCTTTGGAAGTTGTGTTTGTTATTATTATTTGCTTTTACACAAAAATATGCCAATATATCTTCTCTTTTATTTTATATCCCTAAACAATATTTTCCTGTAATATATTTTTGTTTTCCCTCTCCAATCTTCGCATTGAAAACTCCCACGACAACATTAAGCTCATGTTTCTTTGTAGTTATAAAACTTTTTCTAAATCATGATATTCTTGTAATATATTCATATTTATTGTTGTTTTTTAAATGTGGAACATTAGCATCCTGTGAGAGAGAATAGGACGACGTATTTTACAGCTTTATCTGTTTCCTTCGTCTCAATTATTGCTACACCATTTTTGTGATCAATGTGATCGTCTATAGTTACTGTGCCAGACCCTACCCATCTCATTTCACTTATTCCAAGGATACTTATATTTAAAGGCTTTATTTATTTTACGGTCTTAACCTTTAATGGTTCGTACATGCTTATTTCTATGTTGCTTCCTTTAGATAATGGATTCATGCTTTTAGCTGATCGGGAGATTTTTAGCACCTTGCTCCATTTATGAGCAGAGGTAAGTAAAGGAGGAGAAGCAAGAGTTATCCAAAAGTGGTTGATGGGCAAGATTAAAGACATTTCACTTAAGACAAGTTAAACAAGAGTGAAGACTCTTATAAGCCGCCAGGTGCGTTTCATAGAAGTATTGACACACTTTTTCTTTCCGCTCATACCTCAGGGTATTTATTACAGACTGTATAGCTCTTCCAATATTTCTTAGTATGGAAGATGGGTTTCACGTCATAATTACTGTTATATACTTGGCAACACAGGTAGGCAACACCGCTCACTGACACAGGGGAATGAAGTTAGTTAGTTAATGGGAGAATAAAGGTTAATGATGTAAAACCACGTTGTATTAATAATTATTACCTTATTTAACTAAGAAGTACTAAATACACAATAATTGGCGACGAGTATGGGATACATAAGATGGTAATAACAACTACTGCAGAGATTATTACGACTACTACGATTGCTACTTCAACTTCAAGTACAGTTACAGGTCCTCTATTAAGTATCTACATTTCAATTTTCCGTTGAATCTTTCAACCAGTCTGCCACCAAATGGTCCAGGTGGGTAAAGAGGCTGGAATGTGCTTATAAGGTATTTAAACAATTACATTAATAATACAATCTTTTTTATGCTTTATATTATAGGAAAATTACCAAACATCTAAAACTGTAGAAACTGAAGTGCAACATGAAAAAATATGTAAAACAAATATCTCTTGAATATATTGAAAAATAACTATAGAATAAATTAAAGCTATAAACATTATCCAATTTTGTAATAATATCTACAATTTTTGTATTTTTTTGGTTTTTTTATTAGTATTATTACAATTTGATTCTGAAAATAATTACGACGAAGAATATAATTAAATGATAATAAACCATCGTACTAAACAGTTTGTTCGTTACGATCATCCGAATGAGTTCCAAATAATAGTTTGTTGCTTTTTCGATATGCCCATGGCATTCTTTCACTTCGGCAAAATACGCCCATATCTCCAGTTTTTGATAACACAACAGCACCTGTTTGTTTATCAAACTTTTCGATTACTTCATTTACAGAAGTTTGAGCTGCTTCTTGGGGGGACATTCCCATTTTAATGTTATTTATAATATTAAACGACAAACATACTTTTACTATAGATTCTCCATGTCCGGTAACAGAGACTCCACCATATCGGTCATCTGCATAAAGCCCGCATCCAACTTTACTTGAGTCACTACTTCGTCCGACCATTTTCCCCGTTAAACCACCAGTAGACGTTCCCGCTGCAATATGTCCATTTCTATCGATAGCTACAGCTCCAACAGTGTCACACCTTTCTGGATATTTACACCGGCCCCTTACTTTAGATTTTTTAAATTGTTCTAAATCTGATATAGCAAAACTTGTTAGTAATTTACTAGTTGGTATCCGAGGCATATTTATCGAATCCGCAAATTTACCTGCTCCTTCACCTGCCAATAGCACATGAGGAGTTTTCTCCATTACCTGTCGAGCAAGAGTGATAGGATGCATAATTTCTCGTACTATGGTCACACCACCGGTGGATAAGTTCTCCCCTACAATTACAGCTGCATCCATTTCTATGTCTCCAATTTCGTTTAAAACTGAACCAAAGCCAGAATTAAAAACTTCATTTGCTTCCATCGAATTAATTGCTGCCTCTATTGCATCTAAAGCTGTAGCATTTTGTTGAATTAATACATTATAGCCAGCATTACATGCTATTTTAACCCCTTCGACTCTTGGAGAAGCCATATGATCGGGAACATCATCAGCTCCTCCGTGTATAATAATGACAGGTTCCATAATTTTGGTAAATTTCTGTATATCACTACTAATTTTATTAATTGCTATATTTATCAATCAGTGACAATTAAAATGTATAAACATTAAGTTAATATTTCACTCTAAAGTGTCAGCATGCTGTCAATTTAAACAATTTTTATTTTAAATCAAATGGATTACACACGATATATTCCATTCGCTTATCTCGGAAATATTTTGACAGATTCATTGTCGGAAACATACAACACAATAATTATTACCTCTAAGTATTAATATTTCAAATAAACTTACTGTTATAGGAAAAAAGAAAATTAATCATCAATAATGGGACTGTATACTCAAAATTTTTATTAAAAGCTTTCCATTTGTAAATACTAATCTTCTTCTTCTTTATGTTAGATCTTCTATCGAAGGTTGGAAATCATCATGGCTATGCGGACTTTGTTGACTGCCGCTCTAAAAAGTTCTGCACTACTGCATTCAAACCATTTCCTTAAGTTCTTAAGCCAGGATATTCTTCGGCTTCACACATTTCGCTTTCTTCGGATTTTGCCTTGGATAATAAGTTGTAATAATTAGCGTATTTTTGCCCTCTCATCACATGTCCTAAGTACTCAAGTTTTCGTCTTTTGAAATTTGCGCCCCATTTCCTATCCTTCTAGTTACTTCCATGTTTAACATTCTTTGAATCCATGATATTCGTAGGATTCTTCTGTAACACCAAAATTCAAAGGCGGCCAACTTATTCAGATGGACTTGTTCACGTTTAAACGTGTGTCCACGCTTCCAAGCCATAAAGAAGAGTAGAGAACACGTAACATCGAAGCATTATCAGACGTAGTTCTAACCTTATATCTCGGCAACAAAGAAACTTTTTAAGTTTAATGAATGATGCACGTGCTATTGCAATACGTGTCTTAATTTCTTTGGTTTGGTCTACATCTGATGTTATCCATGTTCCTAAGTATTTATAGTTATTAACACTCTCAATTGCAGTATCTTCAATAGTACATTGGATATTTGCATATGCAGATTTAGTCATGATCATGCATTTAGTTTTCTTTGAATTTATCTTCGGTCCGTACTCATGACAGCGTTCATTAAGGCGTTGCATTACGTTCTGTAAATCATTGTTGTTATTCGTCATTATTACTGTATCGTCTGCAAAACCTAAGTTATTCAAAACTTCTCCATTGATAGATATACCTTCTATTGAGTCTGAGAGCGCTTCTTAAAATACCGCTTCACTGTAGACATTGAAAAGTAGTGGGGACAGCACGCAACCCTGGCGGACTCCTCTCTGTATTTTGATATTTTGGGTGTAATGGCTGTCAACTCTTACCTTGGCAGTTTGATTCCAATTTAATACTAATCTATAAACGACTATAATATTTAAGAAATAAACTTTTGTTTAATTGATGCAGTTTTATTTAGTCACAACTGCATGTGAATATTTTTTATTTAAATATTGGCTATGAGCACTTGTGTTTGGTTGTATAGTTATTTCTTACATACCAATATACAACATACAACATACAACATACCAACAAATAATTACTCAATTTCCTATAGAGTTGGGACTGAGATCAGCGAACCGATTATAGGAGAATTTCTGCATCTAAGCTTAAATTGTTGCTACATATACTCCGTTCACTGAACACAGTCACAATTGTTTTACATAGACCAGGGCAAATCTGTGAAAAAACAACTGCATTTTGAAATGTGACGTGACATTTTGATTTTTACTCCATTTTACATTTTTTTGTGCCTTAGCGTGCATTTCTTAGAAAAAGCGATTTTGTTTTCTGAAGTTAGACTTCTATACGCGCGTTCGACTGTGGAAATTTGTACGGAAGTGAACCGGCAAGATCATTACATATATAAGATATAGGTAAGAGAGGGACAGAAGATATATTTTCTCTCTCTTTCTCTCTCGAGAATAAAAATATTCCTTTTGTAAGTATATTTATTATTTATTAATATTATTATTGTTTTTCCATTGTGTTCAGATTTGTCTTGAGCCTCGTTAGGCATGCTAAATTATAAATTAAAAAAAAAACAAAAAGAGAAATCATACGATTTCTATCTGGCGAAATCGAATTCAAATTTTTCCCACTGTGCTTTCTAAAACTTGCCAAGCAAACAGCTTGATAAAATACTTGGCAAGGGAATCTAAGATTTCATTCCACATGCCGTTTATCATGGTCAAAATTTGTAGTGAATTCAGTTTCTGGTACTCCAAACGGAGTAAAGAAATAAAATATAAAGGCGGTACTAGATTTTTGTTTCAATACAGAGCGGCGGTAAGCCCCTTAGTATTTCGACCTCTTTAGGTCTATTCAGACCAGTATAGCCACCTCTCTGGATCGGAACAAAATATATTCCCATCTTAGACAATAGTTATCAAAATAACTATATACGGACGTAACTACGTCATCTAATAACAAAAAGAGAAATCATACGATTTCTACCTGGCGAAATCGAATTCAAATTTTCCCACTGTGCTTTCTAAAACTTGAAAATCAAACAGCTTAATAAATTACTCGGCAAGGGAATCTAAGATTGCATTCCACTTGCCGTTCATCATGGCCAAAATTTGTACCAGAAATTGAATTCACTAAAATGTCCACATGGTTTTAAACAAGAACTTGAGTGGCCAAGTTTTTGAAGATGGCAACAAGATAAGCCAAAGCCCGAATCCAGTGCCAAACTTCCAAAGAATCGTCTATTTGTTTTCCCTTGGTCATTTCAGACCATTTTGCAGCTTGAGTGGGATGCATTTGAGTTTGTTTTCAGTGTTTTGATCCAATTCTAATCTCAAGAATTTCTTAAATGAAATACATCAGCCAGTGTTACAAGGTACTTTTTCTTAAAATTTTACTAAGTAAAAATAGACATTTTTCATTAAAATGAAAAAATTTGCTTTCATGATAAGTTGAAAAATTTTAATAAATAAAATTATAAATTTCATGGATTGACTAGTTGTCATATTTTTAAATGCAAATAATTTTACAATTTAATTAATATAATAATAATAATATATATATATATATATATATATATATATATATATATATATATATATATATAATAACTGATATATATAATATATAATAACTGAGTTCCCAGCTGTTCTCCGAGTGTAGAGGTTCTCTCTCACCGGCTCTGGAAACCGATTGAGCAATGTGTTACCTCTAGTCAAATTTAATTTAATACTGAACATCACAATTATTTTACAACACAATGTACAATCTTTCATAACTAAATGTAATTTAAAGGGTTTTTACCCTAGTATTTTGGTGGCTCAGGCATTGTGACCTAGCATTTTTCGATTTTAAAAACCTGATGATGGACTGTGTGGTCCGAAAACGTTTGTTTTATTGATGTGGCCCTTTTAAGGGTTTTTTTAAATAAATATACCCATTTACAAAGATTAACTTCTTTTTGTTATACGTGGTATACAGCCAGCTACAGGAATTTTTCCTTGTGGATTGTGACAATTATATTTAACTTATCATCGCTTCCGACAACACAAGATGCAGCTCGTTTCCAGTGTTATAGTTTATTACCAGGAAACACTGCGATCCAGAAGATTGGGGCTGGAAAAAGCATGGAAATATTTGGATACGAATCAAAACTGTCAAAACTCTAGTACACTCCTAACTTCTGAAATTACTTTTTTTCAGATGCAAGGAAAACTGTGAAAGTATGTATGATTGCCGATAAGTAGGCCTCAAATGCTCTTCAGTGTACCTCAATTTACCAGCTACCTCTAGATTTATCGTAATTTTGAAAAAATCAACGAAAAAAATCCATAAGGATAATGTTTTTATTAGATATTAATAAAAATTCCATATTAATTAATTTTTGAACTTGTACAGCCCTTTGAAGTTACAAGATAAAAGTTGTTTTTTTGCCTATCTCTTAAACTACTTGACATTTTGTAATAAAAATAGATACGTTACTTTCTTGTTCTGAAAGCATTTTTCATAAAAAAGAAACAACAAAATCTAAGCGCACAGAAAAATTTTAAGGGGGTGTGCAGCCTTAAATTCCCCCAAACTTTTGAGAACGTTCAAATCAAATGAATTTTGTGGCCTCATTAGTTTAACACATTAACAAATTTTTGCCTTTTATAACTTTTTCAAAAAACAGTTTTTATTGGGTTACGGCCCTTTTCATTAACCTTTAAAAAATTACGTGCAACTAAACAAATAGTACAAAAAAAGTGTTTATATCCTCTATAAATATGACATTACAATAAATGTTCAAAATGACCCCCATTTTCCTCAATACAAATTCACAAAATCATATTTTTCTGACGAAATTGAACTGCCAGCTTCAATTATTTTAACCCTTAATTGTTGTTCGTCCTCTATTGTTACAGAATATACTTTCTCTTTTATAAACCCCCAAAACCAAAAGTCCATGGGGTTAAGACCTGGACTTCTGGGTGGCCAAGAAAAAGGTGCGTCACGACCCCTTTCAATCCACTGACCAGGATACTGCCTGCAAAGGTATTCCCGGACTTCATTACTGTAATGCGGTGGAGCGCCATCTTGTAGATTTCAGTTGAAATAGTAGTAGATTTCAGATTCAGTAGATTTCACTCTGATTTCAGCTTTGCCTTATTGCAATATTTACTTATTCCAAATACTCTTGTAAATCGTTTGCTAAGAACTGCAAATAATTATCATCATTTAAATTGTTGGGAAGAAATACTGAGCCCATTAGATTGTTATCCACAATTCCTGCCCAAACATAAACTTTAAAAGTCCTTTGGTGATGAGTCATTTTTTTTGGCGTGAGGATTTTCGTCGGCCCAAATGTGCTCGTTGTGATGGTTTGATATTCCATTTCTACTGAAGGTAGCCTTGTCGGTAAACAAAATATTTCTCATAAAATTAACATTTCGAATGTTTTACATTAACAACCAATCGCAAAATCCAATCCTTTTAGGATAACCTTCAACCAATATGTACCCGTTTCCCGTAAACGACGATCAATGGTCAGAAATAATCGTCTATTGGGTATTTCGATTGGGGTATTTTACTGCATAACGTCTTGTGGCTGCTGCATTATTTCCTTGACATTCACCTACGATATTCCTGATAGTTTATTGAAATCATAATTTAATCTGATCCAACTTACC